GGCCAGTCCCGTGGGCAGGGTATGGGTGTCCCCCCCCCACCCCTGGCCATCATGGGTGTCCCCACCCGCTGTGGTGCCCCCAACTTTCTCCAGCCACGGTACAGGTGTCCCCACCCACCCCTGGCCCTCAGAGGTGTCCCCATATGCCATGGTGTCCCCGACTACCCCCAGCCAGCTCTATGGGCAGGGCACAGGTGTCCTCACCCATCCCTGACCATCATGAGTGTCCCCAACTACCCCAGGCCACCCCCCTGGGCAAGGCACAGGGTGTCCCCACCTGCTGTGGTGTCCCCAGTTACCCTGGGACAGGGTAAAGGTGTTCCCCCCACCCATCCCCGATCAATACAGGCGTCCCCACACACCCTGGCTGTCACTGTGATCAGGGCTGTCCCCATCTACCCTGGGCTGTCAGTGTGGGGTGTGACACAGGTGTCCCTCTCATTCGCCGTGTTGTCACCGTGGAACAGGGCATGGACGTCCCCCTGTGCCCCCAGGCCACCACCACGGGGCAGGGCACAGATCTCATGCTGTGTCCGTGGGTTGGCACCGCCGGGCAAGGCGTGGATGTCCCTGTTATTCCATGTACTGTCACCCTGGGACAGTGCCTGGGTGTATTTGCCATGCCCTGGGCTGGCACCATGGCCATCCCCCTTGGTCCTCAGGCTGTGATCCTAGGGAAGGCAGGGGCCTCCTCCTGAGTTCCCAGACATCCTGAGTCCTCCTGAGTTCCCTGAGCATCCTCCTTGTCCCCCAGGCCATTGCCCTAAGACAAGGCACAGGTGTTCCCCTCACCTCCAGGATAGGGCATGGACCTCCCTCTGGGTTCCTGGGGGACCTATCTCTGTGGGATAGGCCATGGCCACCCCAACCATCCCTGGGGCTGGCACTGTGGGACAGGGCAGGGGCAGCCCCGGGGTGCCCAGGCTGTCCCCTCACCTTGTGGCCCAGAGCTGTGACAGTACAGTGCCATGCCAAGGACCCAGCGTGTCCCCAGGCTTGTGCAGAGCCATGGGCACAAGATCGGAGGCAGTGACATGGGCTGGATTCCTCCATCATTGCCACCACCCCGGGGAGGGGGACACGGACACAGGACAGAGCCAGAATCCTTTAAAAACTTGTCCTTTATTAGTCTGTCAGAAGCGAGTCCCTCTGTATAAGGGCGTCCCACCCAGTTATAGCAAAGTGAGCAACACGAAGGGACCGAGCCCCTCCTGCCCGCGGCCCCCCCCAGACCGGGGGGATCGCGGGGACCGACGGGGCCATCCCTCCCCGTGCAGCCCCCGCCGCCGGCATCCCCTTCCCTCCCTCCCTTCCTCCAATGTGAGGTACCCCTCATCCTGCCCCCCCCCCGGGGGGGTCAGCTCTGGGGCTGGGGAGGGGTGCGACACCCCGAGCCCCCCCCAAAATCCCGCAGAGAGCGATAGCACCAAGGGGGACGGCTGCTCCCCGCAGTTTATTCCGCGCTCCCTGCCGGGACCGAGGGGCTGGGGGGCGACGGATGCTGCCGGAGGTGCGGGATCCCTCCTGGGAACGCGGGGCCGGGGATGGCCCCGGGATGGACGGGGGGTTTTTGGGGAAGGGGGGGGGCGTCTCAGCTTTGCTCGGGATTTACATTCTGGACCATGCAGTAGCACCAAAGTTCATGAGGTCAGCGGTGACGGCCGCGGTTACTTCCGCCTCCTCCCGCAGTACTTCCCTGCTGCGCAGCCCACGCCGCCTGCCATGGGGGGGGGGATGCACGGGGTGAGCCCCCCCCTGCACCCCCAGACCCCTGGGGGGGGGTGTGGGAGAAGGGCAAGGGGTGCAGGAGCCGGTCCCAGCACCAGCGCTCACCTCTAAAGCCCAGGGCACCGAGGGCTCCTCCGTAGGCCTTGGGGGGCTTCCCTGCAGGGGGAAGGGGGAGCTGGGTCAGCGGGACCCCCCCCGGCTGCGGGGTGCAGGGGGGATGCGCACCCCCCACCCCAAAAACGCCCAGCGGGGGGGGAACGGACACTCACCAGCAAATCCCAGCGGGGCGCCGACCCCACCTGGAAGGAGAGCGAAGCCCTCAGCACCCACTGGGCACCCACATCGCTCTGCCCTGCACCCCCCAGTTGAGCCCCCCCGGCTCAGCAGAGCCCCCGGGGTCCCTCCCCAGGCCGTGGCCGTGTCCCTGTGCTCCGTGGGCTTTGCATATCCCCGGGAGCCGGGCGGGCACCGGGATGTGCCCGGGGTGTGTGCTGGGGGTGGTACCTGGAAATATCGGTGACACGCCGAAGCCGGGAACTCCAACCCCTGGGGAAAAAGCGACAGCCAGTGACAGCCAGTGACAGCAGTGCCACCCCAGCCTGGGCTGGGGACACCCTGGCTGGGTTTACTTGCTCAGTCCCTGTCCCTGTCCCTGCCGTGGCACCCATGTGGCTTCCCAGTGCTCAGCAGGGAGTGGCAGCAGGGTGAGGACAGCAAGTGGGGACAAGTGTGGTGTGGTGGGGGACATGCTCCCACCCCAGCCCCAAACCACAGCACTCACCTAGACCAGCACCAAAACCTGCAATGGGAGAGCCCCAGTGAGGGTGGGGAGCGTGGGATGGGGACAGGGTGGGACAGGGACTGGAGTCACCCCTGCAGCCCCTCTGGCTGCTCCTTACCCGCCTTGGGAGGTTTCCCAGCAGCTCCTGGATATAAGAGTCCTGTGTCAGAGAGGGGCAGCAGCACAGCCCCCGCCCCAACTTCGCTGCCCCCAGGGCTGCAGCCAGACCCTTCTACAGGCCCAGAGGGTCCCCAGGAGGGACCTGCAGCTCCACATGTGGGGGATGTGGTATGGGACCATCCCCTGTTCCCATGGCATAGGCAACACCAGTGTTATGGCCCTCAGTCCCTGCTCAGCAGTGGCATTCCCTTTGGATCACACCCTGGGAGCAGGGCAGGTGGCAGGCACAGGATGGGGCACAGGGTGACAGTGTGGGGTGGGACAAAAGTGACCCTGCATCTCCTTCATCCCATAGGCCCCTTTCCTTTTGGGCACTCTGCCGGCACACAGCTGCCACTCCCTGCAGCCCAGCCCTGGGAGCCCCAGTGCCAGGGCCAGCATCACTCACCAACACCAAGCCCAGGGACTCCGAGGCCACCAACTCCAAGGCCACCTATGATGGGGGAGCATCAGTGAGGACAGGCAGTGTCTGATCCACTCCTTGTCCAGCCCCAAGTGTGTCCATCCTTTCTTGGGCAGCCCCACTCCCTCCATGCCTCTGTCCATATCCCTCTGGGGGAGCATCCCTCTGCCTGCACATCCCCACTGCTTAGGCTTGGCCCCTGCCAGCACTTACCTGGGAGGCCACCAACTCCTGGCACTCCAACTCCGGGCACACCTGCCAGAAAGGGAACATTAATGCCTGTCCCCCTGCAACCCGGCACCCCCGGGTCTAAGATGGGGGACAGGTGGCACTTTGCACTCATGGGTGACAGCACACCACCTCCCATGCCTGGGCCACCAGGGCACACGGGGACATGCAGGGGACACAAAGTCAGCACCCCGATGGCCACATGAGGAGGGTGCCTGGGGACAGTCTGAGATGGACTTGGGGCAGGGTGGCAGAGATACTTACCGAATTTGGGAGGTTTAGCACCTACTTGGGGGATGCCTGCCGAGTGAAGGAGGACACCACAGTTAGGATGGTCACCCCTGCACCCCCTCCCACGTGCCACCATCCCCCATCCCGCCTGCATCCCCCTCTGCCACCCCTCTGTCTGGCTCGGTGGCTTTCAGCGTTCCCAGCCACCGCTGTCCCCAAGCAGGGCCCCAGGCAGGGTGTGACAAAGCACGTACCTGCCCCGGGGAGGACACCAGCTCCAGGTACTCCCACACCTGGCACCAACCCGGGCACGCCAACACCGGGCACCGCGCCGGGCACACCAACACCGGGCACACCAACACCGGGCACACCAACAC